CAACCCTTCCTTGGGTGTCAAAATACTGGCCCCAGTGCCATAACTGCCCAGTGCTAAGTTCAGGAAAATAAACAAATGGAATGTATAATATCACGCATTCACTCTTGGAGCTTCATATTTATGGGGGAAAATTTGAAAAAATTTTCTTTGCACATTAGGATGGCTCTTAAACCAACTCGAATCCAATACGAAAGGGAAAAGTTTGTATTTGTTGATTTACATCGGTTGGCAAGTATAAATATAATCAGTTATAAAGCAAACTCAAATTGGGCTGTATCTTGGCATGTATGTATGTTTGGGTGGTCCAAAATAAGCAAAGTCGGAATTTTAATGCTCTCATCCCTAGGATATAGAACAATCCTAGGGCATTAAAATTCCGACTTTAGTTTTTCACAGGCATTTATGGACCACCCTAATGTACACACTTACTTACTTACTTACAAGAGCTGCATTTTACCGATGAGCTGAAACGGTCTGCGACTGAACTATGTTGTAAGGAGCTGAAATAAATCGATGTATTTATGTACATTAGAGTGGTCCAAAAAAATAAAGTCGGAGTTTTAATGCCGGCACACCCTAGGATTGATCTATATCGAAAAAATATACCTCTATTTTTTAATTTGAAATCAAAAAATATTTAGGGAGTGCTCAAAGTTTTCCATGTATTTTATATGGAGAAAAAACCATCTTTTCGTAGAAATAGTGTAGAATTCTTGAAAATCAATATTTTTCGATCGGAAAACTTTACTTATCTTCATGAGATTCCCAATAATAATACTCAATTGTTTCTTTAACAATTTTTTCATGGTAACTATATTTTATAGGTCCTCCAAAGCCCATAGAAAATGCAATGGGGGACCAATAAAAAATCTTTAAGCATAAAAAATGGTTAAATAAACCATTGAAAAGTATGACAACCAAAGTCTTCCTACGGTTTCTTTACCATCTCTGCCTGAAATATCTGCGTTTGTAGTTGAGGAATCTGACGTAACTCTTGCGATATCTGAACTAAAGTATGATGGTAAATCTGACACTGATGGTTTTTGCTCGGTATTCTTCAAACTATGTGCGGACTCCCTTGTGGGTCCCATCACTCGGATTTTTAATAGCTGCCTCTCTAGTGGTGTTTTTATTGATGCATGGAAGGTCTGTTCTATCACTCCAATTTACAAATCAGGCGACCGTAATGATATACGTAACTATAGGCCTATAGTGAAACAAAGTACATTGGCCAAGCTGTTCGATAGCATCATTCATTCTAAACTTTACCTTCACGTATGTAACATTATAAGCAATTGTCAGCATGGGTTCATGCCTGGTAGATCCACATGTTCAAACTTACTCTTAGTCACCAATGATATCCTGAAGGCATTTAATTGCCAATCACAATTAGATGTGATATATACCGATTTCTCCAAAGCCTTTGATAAGGTTGACCACGTTGTCCTACTGCATAAACTAAAACTCTATGGTATTACTGGAGAGCTTCTGAAATTCTTTGCTAGTTTTCTTAGCGGGAGGAAGTTATTTGTGAAAATGGGTTTAGTCTCCTCAAATACCAGTGTCAAAGCTTGGTCAGGTATTCCGCAAGGTACCCATTGTGGTCCGCTATTATTTTTGCTTTTCATCAATGATTTACCCTCCCACTTTAAATTCACGAAATGCCTGATGTTTGCCGATGATGTTAAGCTTTTGCTGCAAGTTGACAGTCTTTCTGATTGCAGGAAGTTGCAAGCGGATTTAAGTATTTTTGAAACTTGGTGTACATCAAATAACTTGTACTTGAATACCAAGAAATGTGCTATTGTATCGTATACCAGAAAATTAGCGGCGTTTCTTTTTGATTACTCTTTGTGCAACAATGTGCTTTATCGTTGCTCCGATATGAAGGATCTAGGGGTGATCTTTGATACAAAGCTTACATTTAGCAAGCACATTGACTTTATTGTCTCTAAGTCGTTTGCGCTATTTGGCTTCATTCGTAGAAATACTCGTGATTTTAAGGACCCTAACATGCTTAAATCATTATTTGTTGCCCTTGTTCGTAGTCGACTGGAGTATTGCTCTTTGATATGGAACCCCTACTACGATGTATACTCTGGTAAAATTGAAAGGGTTCCGAAAGTCTTTACAAAATATGCCTTATACAACATGAGCTGGGATGATGGCCCTCCATCATACACTAGTAGACGTAAGCTTTTGGGTTTGCAATCTTTGCATGACCGCAGACTTTATAGTTCATTTATATTTGTATACAATGTGGTCAATAACAAAATTGACTGTGATCTTATCAATTCCTTATTTAATGTATATTTACCCCAAAGAAACTTAAGATGTAATCGTTTATTCGTTGAGCCAATTAGCAGAAATAACTATTCGCTGAATGAGCCTATCACTAGATGCGTTCGTCTTTGCAATAAATATGCCGATGTTATCGATTTTAATGTTAACTTTTATTCTTTTAAACTTACCTTGTTTTCCTTATTTAATTAAATATTAATTGTTAATTGTTGTTGTACTATATTTATGTCGTCTTTGAGACTAATTTTAAGTGGATCAATTGTCTAGTCTGTAAGATTCATGTAATCAGTAGACCGAATAAATAAATAAATAAATAAATATTAATACTGGAAGTCTCCTGAAGAGAACCACAGTTTTCCGGTCGAAAAATATTGATTTTCAAGAGTTTTATCCATTTCTACGAAAAATTATTATTTCCATGTATAAAATACATGGAAAACTTTGAGCGCTTTGAGCACTCCCTAAATATTTTGTGATTTCAAAATAAAAAAATATGGGTATATTTTTTTCGGTATATAACAAGCCTAGGGGGTGGCGGCATTAAAAATCCGACCTTATTTTTTTTACATACATTTTTGGACCACTTTAATGTACATACATATATATACTATTGGAACTTTAGAAAAAAGGGCGTTGTAAAAACAAGTCCAACTGGATTTAACGCTTAACCTCCCACATAAATAGATACCTCATATTTAAGTATATGGGGCGAAATTCGCCAACTGTACCAAGAGCACATTTTATACCAGAATTTTTTTTATGTGTAAAAGAATTTTTTTTCTACCGGTTTTTTGTCGAGCTATACCAGTTTAAACATTCAAATAAATGTCAGCCCTTTTTCTTGGGATAACAAGTTTTCTTAAAATTCTTATCTCATGTCGCAACAACGTAGTAGAGTTTGAACGAAATGTTTGGGGTGTTCACAGTTCGTTCCATCAAAGCACTCCTTTCTAGCAGTCGTCACAAAACTTTACTGGTGTTGCCAGACATTTCTTCTTTGCGTCCATTTTTTATATGTCAATTTTTGATTTTGGTTCTGAAAAATTTTAATTGTTTATCTTAATTACCAGTTGCTAATGTTTGTTCATTATTTTCCTTGATTTGCTCGTTTTCAACAGCCAATGCGCTCAAATCAAATGCAAATACGGAAACGTCCCCCCCCCCCCCCCCCTACCCCCCTGCTGCAAGGTTGCAAAATGTAGACACGTAAAAAACATACCTTTGAGTGTGTCAAAATGTAGACGGCGTCATTTACAATTTTGTATGGAAACCCACAACGCCACAGATTTTAGTTAGAGAACGTCTTAAACGTAGACGTCTTTATTCTGAGTCACTATTTGGAACGAACTGTGAACAGCCCAGCTGACACTTAAATTTTTTCCTGGTACATTTTTAGGATTCATTCGGTATTCAAAATTCTAAATACAAAAGCAGTCATCTTCAAATTGCAATTCTCAGCCGAGAAAAAGAATTTGAAAATAGGAATTTCATTCTCCGTATTTGTGTGTTCATACCCTGAAGTAAATCGTGCTAGTTCAGGACTAGCGCAGAACTAGCTCTTTAAGAGGCGGTACGGGTTCTTGATCTATCCCAACGCAATGCTTTCAACTGTCTCTTTTTACATGGCGATGTCCTACGAAGTGAAAATTGCCCCCTGGTTCCATTTGGACAGTTCTGGGACAGTAAGTTTTTCTATGAGA